TGACTGAAAAATCCATGCCACTAATTTTAGCAAGAATAATAATTGCACAGAATTTTTGCCCTTAAGGGGAAATAATTTGAAAGAAGATGCTTCAAATTCTTGAATGTGACACAAAATATGCTGGTGCTAGGAAAATCTTTAAATTAATGACGGGCATAAAAAATGACAGCAGACCCTGTATAGAGAATAAAATCATCAGAGAGCAGAAGTAACCTGTTGCATTTTTATTCGGCCTAAACAAAAATCAATTCGGGTTTAGTTTACTTACCACTTGCTCCAGCTTTCCTGATGCTAACTCTTCCTGAAGCTTCTGGGCTTTCAGTGTACGTTTGGCCTGCGTATCATGAAAACACATTTGGTTTAGTATTTCTTTTTAATAGCAAGTGTGTAGTAATACTTACCATAAGCATCTCTTGTGACTGCTGCCATTTAAAACTTCTTCCTTATTACAAAAAAATGAGGTTTTAATTTGCTGCGTGCTGGTAAAAAATCAGCAGCCTACAGCTTCTCTCTACTTCTATGATTTACCATACTGGGTTTTGAGCTTCAAGGAAGCTATATATACACTGATCATTTTACTATTTTGTATTATACTGTTAAATAAAACAGTTTACTAGGGCTTATGAAGCTATACCATTACTATGTGCATCCTAACTTAAGAAAGAGAGAGCTTATTTTAGCTCAATAGTGTTTAAGAACAAACATGTTTTATTATTGTGTCCTCATCATCTAGTTAGGAACTTCAGTGCTTAAGGTACCTCACGACTGATGCTGCAAGCATTTATGTTTCATCCAGGAAGCACCAAAGTCTAGCATCTATAGTGAGATTCTAAACAGCATTTGGTGAATTTTTGTATGTGTTTGACATCACAGAACCACAGAACAGCTGATGCTGGAGGTACCTCTGGAGACTGCCGTGGACAACCCCCCTGCTCAAAGCAGGCTTGCCTACAGCAGGCTGCCCAGGACCGTGTCTACGCAGGTTTTGATTACTCCAAAAATGGAGACTCCCCAGCCTTACTGGGCAAGCTGTTCCACTGTTCGATCACCCTTACAGTGGAACATTTTTTTCTTATGTTTAAACAGAATTTCTCGTATTTCAATTTGTGCCCGCTGCTTCTTCTCCTGTCACTAGATACTACCGAGAAGAGTCTGGCTCTGCCTTTAAACACTCCCATGAGACATTTATGCACACTGATTAGATCGCATTTAGCATTAGCTTTCCTGTGCACTATAGGAAAATAGTGAGCACCAGGCACCGAAGGGAGTTAGTCGGGCACCTAACTACCTTTTGGAACTGGCCTAACATCCAGCCAAGGTAGTGAACTATTTTTTTTTTCCTTCTAAAAAGTTAATAGTGTCCACATGAATTTGGTGCATACAGATAGAAGGTTAACTGCAACAGCAAGGTGCCGATCTGCCCAGAGACATGTACAAATAGTCCACTGCTCCATCATGGTAACAAAAAGGATTCGTAAGTAAAATAACACGAATGAGGTTATAAAATAGATATAGATTTATTGGCTCTAATACAGCCAGATAATAAATTCCTTTCTTGCCTGCAATTCAGTCTGCACCTTGGGTAATAAATTCTAAGGCTTGTCTATTAAAAAGCAATCTGGAGACACTTCATGTGTTGTGCAGAGCCATACTCAGTTGCCAGTTCTGATCTGAATTTTCAGTTTAAGCAAAGTCTGCTACCAAACACAGAATCCACCTCACTTTTTCATTATGAATACAGCACAAGGCCTATTATTAACAGTGCACATAACAAACGTTCCTCCTCCCAGCCAAGCCAAACACTGACGCTTTCCCCAGTAAACCACAGCACCTACATACCAAATCAACCTTGGAATATTCCTCTACAATCTTCATGTGCTCTTCTGGGTTATAACCATTCCAACGATCTCGCTTTCCATCATAATCAAACATCAGTTGAGGCTGCACATGTTCATCTGGTGCAATATTCATGCCTGTGTATTTTGCTCCAACCTTCCTGGGTCTCTGAAAGGGAAAAAAACGGTTGGATCAGTCCACTAAACTAAAATACGTTACTCACTCAGATATCCCTTTAGAAAACAGTATCAATCGAGCTCTTCCAAAGCCAGCTAAATTCAGCAATATAAGCCTGCGAATTGTAATAAACACAAGTAGTTCAATTTCTCTGTTTTAAAGTAGTGCAACTGACGCCAAACCCCATCAATTTCTAACTCTGTTTTCCACAATTAAGAAAGCAATTAAAACTCAGTTTCTGGGGATGGCTTCTAGCTGACATGAGAGAGAAAGACAGGCACAGCAGCACTTGAGTTAAAGCAAATTAACATGAGGAGCTAAACATTTTCACCTATTATTGCAGTGCTTATCATAAACAGAACTAATGAGCAAAACCCTGAATAGTAGCATTTTTTCCCTTCATTTTTCCTACATAACAATTTCTTTAGAAATTTTCGAGCCACCTTTCAATACTTGTAACCTTTTTCAAAACAGCTTTTTCAAAACTAGTAATTTTTTATCTATAGCTAGCTATTTTTCACTAAGAGTAGAATTCACGTTGTTTTCAAATCCATTAAAACATCAACAAAAGCCAAGTTTACCTCCATGCAGTCTTTCTTTTTATGTGTCAATGCACCACAGTTCTCGCAGGCTCCTTTACGGTATCTAGTTGCTATAGCATGCTAAACAATAAAAAAAAGAGAGTGTTGTACAAACTTGTGCAAGATTCATATATGCGTTCCCCACAACTAATTCATTTTTTCAGTACACCTAAAGTGTGCGTGGTCTACCCAAACCCAGAACACATATTTTAATTATTACCAAACACTGCGACTTGCCTGCTGAGTAAGAATTCCCAGCTGCTGTCCCTCTCAAAAACATGTAACCAGAGTTACATCTTTACAGTGAGTCAGTCTCTTTTCTTATTTCCTCATGAAATCAAACCAAATCTTTATTTTATGACAAAAATGTTTTGCATACCTCTTGAACTCCTCGTTTGTACCAATCTCCAGAGGAGCTATACTGTTTCTGCTTCTCTGGCTGAGGTCTCTGATGCTTTAGGGTAGGTCTTTTAGAGGGATCTATGTACCATGGTACTGAGGATATGTACTGAGGAATATGAGGATTGATATCTCTGCAAAAGATGTTGTGTAATAAATACACAGCATAGGGGAAAAAAAAAACCCACAACAAAACCCACAACCCACAACTTAGCCTAACAAATAACTCTCATATTAAAGTTCAGTGCTTTAGCGGTGATAATAAAATAATGAAGTTGTTACAATGCATTGCAAAATAAGCTCTAATTTAACTACATAAACACAAACTTTCACTGAGATTTTGCTGCCATCTAGTTCACCTAAAATCCTGACTCCAAATCAAATACCTTATTCTGTGCAATGTTCCTGAGCACAAAAATAGTAACATTTCTCAGGAACAACGAGCCTTGCAGAAGCAAGAAAGAGGGAACAGAAAAGGTATGCAGCAAAGTTCCCCAGTAGCAGGTCTTGGTCACTTTTAAAATACCACTTGTAAGCTGCCGCATAGATGGGACTTCTTAGGAGCACCGTCAGTAGATCACAGTAGATAAACACTGAACCTACGTTTTTTTGGAAAATATCTGTTTTCTGAGGATGACTGGAATGTTAAAAGCAAATTCACAAAGTGCAACTACTTATTTCTACAACGACTCAAGTAGAAATCATGTATCGACCTCATGATCATTCTGTAATCACAACAGGAAAGAAGACATTTTTAACCAGTAGCTTTAGAATAACCGTAGCTTTAACAAAACTTACTTTCCTTCTTCATCCACTTCAGCAGGTGCATTTCCTAGCTTTCTTTGTTCTTCTAATTCTTTCTTTTTCCTCCAGTCTTCCCTTGTCATCTTCTTCGGCTCTTCCAGGCTCACATCGTTTGATCCTCCTGAAGAAGTGGCGTTCATTGCTGTCCCTGATGCCATTTTGTTTTTTCCCCTGTAACAGAAAAAAAAAAAAAGCGTCTTACAGATCAACACCATTTGACAGTTCTTCAGCGTGGTTGTGTATCGCTCAGTTAAACCAGAAACGCTGTATTATGCATTCTTGACACGCCTTTTCACAAAAATAAGCAGCAGGGCCGAAAAAAAAAAAAAGCTATCTTACTGACGCTTCTCTGCTCTGGCTGACAGGACGCGCGGCGGGGGCGAGCAGCAGCAGCTCTGCGCACGGCGTCAGGACAGCACCGCTCGCCTTCCCCGCCGGCGCCGAGCGGGCAGGGGCTCACCCCC